GGGAGCGACAGGAGCCATCTAAGTCTCTGAGGTGAACTGGCAGAGAACTGAGGGGCTAGGAACGCCTGGCCTGGACTCGGAAAGCGTCCAGAAGCCGCCCCACGGTGGGGGAGAGATGGGGCCAGTAGGAAGAGGGAATCCGCCGAGCACAAGCTCAACCACGTTAGTCACCAAGTTGCGCAGCACCAGAAACCAAGAACTAACTAACCGAGTAGATGCTGAGCCAGTCCATTTCTAATCATATCCTGTGATGTTTTAAATGCCCTGTTCTAAAAATAAGAACCACCCAGCCTCATTTTAACAATTAAATCATACGGTTATCTTTGCTCAAACGGAATCTGAAAACTAAAAGAGATTTTGACCCCAAAAGGTTTGCGCCAATATTTCAACTCTTAAAGGTCCCAGAATGTCAAGCACGTGACCTTGAGCCCCCTCGTTACCTCTTTATTAGCTTTAAATATGTCTTTCTTGCATGCTGCAGTGGTCCTCCACTCGAAGTAATGCACACAGTCTGTCGCAGTTACAAATTCAGGAGTTCCCTATTTTTAAAAAAATTAAAAATAAGTTACGATACTGCATGATGTAAGGGTTTTTTTTTTTCCTCCCTTAAAGTTAGAAACAGTAAAGGCTAATGAAACTTTGAAAGCAGAAAGAAGAGGGGGAGGAGGGAGGACACAACTGTTTTAGTTAATCAAGGTCATCAAGAAGTTCCCAAACGCAAAAATTATGAGACAAAAGCTTCATGAAATCATGCTGGAATTTTGGTATAATCGGTCCAAAACTGTTCTACTGCTCCAACTATGCAAAGCACAGTAAACTCATGGGATGCAATCCTCAGAGCCCTTCCACTCTCAAACTCCAAATGTTCTCTTAACCAAATGCCAACAAAATCGAAGCCAGAAAATGTGACCTCATACTTCCTGTAAGCTGAGGAAGGACGCCCATCTGGACCCGACTGAGTTCACACACCAGCCTCGCTTCAGACACCCCACACTCAAGGGCAGCCCCTCCTAACAGACTGCAACCAAGGTGGACTCCAAAATGGTCAACCACAGCGCTGCTGGGTGATACGCGATACTGAATTTACCTCCATACGCCCACATGCAAATCTAGGGAGTTCTTCGCAATTCTGGTTCTTGTACGGTGAACTCAGAATTCTTGAGGGAAGTTACTTAAAATTAAAGCAGCAGCTAGCTTATTCTGTAGCACAGACCTCCATATTTCATATCACTGCAAACAGATCTTTTTCCAAGGTTTCAACATAGACAACAGTGCAACTGGCAGGCTGGTCCAAAATTAACAATGTAAGTTCTATTTTTAAAGTTCTTCAGAGGAGACATTATAGGTCTGAAGATGCAGGAAGTCACAGCACCAAATTCTAAAATGATACTTTAAAGCAAACTGATACCCACATTGAGTTTCACTCAACCTTATTTTTCTAAATACTTGCATTCTTACTCTGATTAGAGAACATTCATAAGACTTGTATACAAATTGCTTCTCCTAGGATGAGTACTGGGTGTTGTACAGAAACCAATTTGACAATAAATTTCATTTAAAAAAATAAATAAATAATAAAAATAAAAAATAAATTGCTTCTCCTAAAAGCTAGCAATTATTCACTGACAGTCCCTTTCTGAACACTAGAGATTAACAGCAAAAACTCGCATGCAATATACAGAGGATAAGAACAAACATCATGCTTTAAATAATTATTTATGTCCCCTTTCGATACTAGCAATACTTGAAAAAGTGATATTAGTGGCCATTGTCTGCTGGCCAAGGCTTCTCCTAGATAGATGTTGGCCTCTCCAATTTAATGTAAATGAGAAAACAAAAACCTTTTTTAAGCAAATAAGTGCATTGCCCTAAAAACTACCATAATAAAATGCTATGAAAATAAGTTTTAGAAAAAAAATTATGCCTGCAATGTAAATGTTCAGCAGTGTTTCGAGTTTAAACATGCTAATCACCTTGAATTGTAGTTTTATACAGGATGTAGGTCAAGTTTCACTTAAAAGTTGTAACTACAGGCTAGGGTTTGTTTATGTATTGGTTCTTAATGGCGATGGCGTTTTGGTTGGGGTTTTCAGTTTGTGTTTTTAATTCTGCTCACTTATTCTTCCCGGAATGACACTGTAGTAAGAATGTCCAACAGACAAACGTTTTTAACAAAAGGAAAGAACGTTATAAAGGGACTGTGCGGACTCACCAAAGTTTTCCCACATAAGAAGGTGATGCTAGTCTGGATTTTGTGATTTGTGTTTTGCTTACAGGTCTCTGTTGTATTGAATTCCAGAAGAGATCTGGTTGCAGTTTTCAAAGAAGAATCACCTATTTGGAAAGGAAAGAGCATGAACAAGCTCTAAAACATTCATGACCATAAAGCCATTTCCGAGCAGAAGCAAATTAAAATTGGTACCATAATTCATCTGAAAATTCATAAACTTACAGGCTGTCCCTTCCCCAGAATTCTCCAGCTGAGGAATGGCATCTCCATCCACCCAGCTGTTCAAGACCCAAACACATTACATGAGTCCCAACTTTCTCTCATCTATCACACTGAATAAGTTGGAAAACTCTAATGGTTTTCCCTCCATCTCAAATCCATCCGCTACTCTCCACCTCTACTGCTGCTGCGACTGAAATCACCACCATCCCTCACCTACGCTCTGGCAGCAGCACAGAATCGGTCCCCTTGCTCCACTCCTGACCCTCACCATCCTCCCTCCCCATCCACCTCGACAGATACAATCTCCAAAAACATAAGTCAGAATATACGTATAACTCAACTGCTCAAGTTCTTCAATAAATTCCCATCGTATATACTATCAAAACAAAATTTTTTTCTTTTAAATTTTTATTTAAATTCTAGCTAGTTAATGTATAGTGTAACATTGGGTTCAGGAGTAGAATTTAGTGGTTCATTACTTACACAGAACACCCAGTGCTCAACACAAGTGCCAGCCTCAAAACTCAAAATTCTTTAGAATGGCCAACAAGTGGAGTGATTACATTTCAGTTTTCCTGGTATATTACTGTAATAATCCAGAATAAAATGTCTATTCCATACCAAATACTGATAATTGGTATAAGCAGATTAGGACAAAGAGCACAGACAGATATGTGTGAATCAAACCTTGATATGTGACAGAGTAATAGATCAGTGGGCAAAGAAGAGACTTTCAATAAATGGAACTGAAAACAAAACGGAAAAAAGATAAAAACCGGATCCCTACCTACCACTGTACATGAAAACCAACTCTAAAGGAATTAAATAACATCAAACACCAAACTTTAGATAGAACTCTTGGTAGAAAACATAATTACCTTTTCGATCTTAATGTAGGAAAAATATTTAAGACTCAAAAGCATTAACTCTAAAATGTCAATATATTTGACTCAGTAAATTTAAAAGTTTACATTCACCAAAAAAAATAGCTTAAGGAAAACAGAAACAAGTTTTAAACTGGGAGATACACAGAACTGGCAAACTGGCAAAGAATTGGCATCAAAAATACATACATTCACACACCCAAAAAAAAAAAAAAAAAGGAAAGGAAAAAAATTTTATAGTCCTAGAAAATGAAACAAAATAACCTCTAACTGAAAGAACATACAAAAAGAAGACAATGAGGAAAGACCCACACCTAGTCATGTCGTGGTAAATTTTAATATCAAACGTAAAAATTCTAAAGCTTCTAGAAAGGTAGAATAGGTCACATGCAATAAATAACCCAATATAAAACGAACCAGATATGACCAAAGGGAAGAAAACCATGTCAGTAAATACACGAAGAGATGTACAACACCCCTACTGATCAAGGAATTACATATTGAGAACACATGGCATACTGATTACAACCATCCCATTGACAAAAGTTGAATACCAAGTGTTGGAAAAGAGATGGCCTAGCATGCCTTTGTTGCCTCCGCATGGCATTATGTCCTAATATCCGTGTATCCTGTGACCTACGTATTCAACTCTTATGTATATACACAGAAAAAACCATACACATATACGTATAACAAGAAACAAATGAAAGAACATCTCATGTTCCTCACACTAGCAAAACCGTGGAAACAACCCAAATGCCCATCAATAGAACCATGGATAACTTACCTTTGGGAGAGCCACATAATATCACAAAAGTGTTAGTAGGAACAAACCATGGTGAAAGATAACAATACGCTCCATCTTTAGAAACATAATATTGTTGTTACCACTTTAAGGCCCCCAAAATTACATATAGCATGATCTATGCTTTGTATAGAGTTAAAAATATCGGGCACGTGTACACACACACACACACACACACACACACACACACACACACACACACACTTTTGAGAGGCAGAGACACAGAGACAAAGAAAAGGAAGAAAAATTTAAATATAGGCTAATTATTACTCCCAGGGAAGGGAAACGGTGGCAGGGGGGAGGGGTGGTGAGGAAAACACAGAGACAGTGGTTATTCTCAGGTTCCTAGATTCTGTTAGAGATGGGGTTCATTACATTATCCAAAACAGAAATTAATTAATTAATTAATTAATTAATTAAAAAACAGAAAAAGGTTAGCCCACGGATTAGTTATGACTGCGTATCATAAACTCAGGATTATAACTGGTCCATTTCGATACAAATACCTGATATCTTTTTGTGAAAAGAAATAAAGGAGGAAGAAGAGGGGGAGGGGTCAAAATTAAGATGCCAGTGGAGAGAGGATAGTGGATTTCAGAGCTGCCCCCAGAGCACCAGGCTCACAGTACATTGGTTCTTTCTCCTGACTGCCTGCCCGCCTGTCTCTGTGCAAAGGTCCACCTGAATCGCTCTCTCCCCTAAAATTCCCGGGATCCGTCCGAAAATCTTTTTCCTCGACCAAAAGAGCACACAAGCCCAGAGGAGTCTCCGGGACCGAGGACAGCGCCCCGTGGACAGCGCCCGTAAGCCCCGCCTACGGCAGGCGGGCCTAGGGCCGGGAGACGGGGCGGGGCTTCGACGCGCCCCTGCAGCGCTGCCATCCAGGAGACACGGAGGGCGGGCAAGGACCACAGGAAGCGGCAAGCGCTGTGGCCAGAAGGGGGCGCTCACAGGCCGCAGCCCCCCCACCTTGAAGACCCTCCCCCGCGCCTCCTGTCCCCCCACACAGCGGCCCCTTCCGGCCCTGTGCCCAGAGCTCCCGGGGGCTCCTCATAACAGCTGGGTCCGCCCTGAAAAGGAAACGCGGAGGGCCCTGGCCTCGGGCTGGGAGGGATCCAGCCAACCTCTGCCGCCGCGGCACTGGGCACCAGCATCCCTAAGCGCCAGGCCCCCATCAGCATCGCACCCGCCTGTCCACCTCGCCTTCTTCCTCTGCCCACTCCACCCGGTGGCCGGGACCGGCTGCCAACCGGGGCACTCGGGGAGAGGCCGCAGCGAACCGCGGCAGACAACCGCGGCAACCGGCCAGCCTGGCCGTCCTCCCCGGACGAGAGCCGGGTGAGGACTGCGGGGCCGCGGCCAGCACGCCAGGCCCACGGCCAGCTCCCGAGGACGGCGCCAAATGGGCTGGGCCGCGCTCGCCGGGCCCGCCAGACCGCGCCGGGTCCTCCAGACCGCGCGCCGGGCCCGCCAGACCACGCTCTCCAGGCCGGGTCCGCCAGACCAGACCGCACTGGCGGGGCCCCACCAGACCAGACCGCGCCGGGTCCTCCAGGCCGCGCTCTCCAGGCCGGGTCCTCCAGACCAGGCTGCGTGCGCCAGGCCCGCCAGACCGCGGTCCCCAGGCCGGGCCCGCCAGACCAGGCCGCGCTCGCCTGGGCCCGCCAGACCAAACCGTGCTTGCCGGGCCCGCCAGGCCATGGCGAGTCTGCCAGACCTCGGTCTCCAGGCCAGGTCCCCCAGACCGCGCCGGGTCCGCCAGACCACGCGCTGGGTCCGCCAGACAGCGCTCTCCAGGCCGGGCCCTCCAGGCCGCGCTCGCCCGGGCCCGCCAGACCAGGCCGCACTCACCCGGACCCGCCAGACCAGGCCACGCTCTACCGGCCAGGCCGCGTCCGGTCCTCCCGACCCTGCGCACCAGGGGGCCCGCCAGGCCACGCTCGCCCGTACCCGCCAGACCAGGCCACGCTCTACAGGCCAGGCCGCGCCGGGTCCTGCAGACCCTGCGCGCCAGGCCCGCCAGGCCACGCTCGCCCGTACCCGCCAGACCAGGCCACGCTCTACAGGCCAGGCCGCGCCGGGTCCTGCAGACCCTGCGCGCCAGGCCGCGCTCACCAGAGCCTGCCAGACCAGGCCGCGCTCCAGGCCTACCAGGCCTCGCCTGCAACCCTCGGCGCCCCCGGCCGAGCCCAGCCGAGCTCGCAACTCGGCCTCGCTGAGGCCGCAAGCCCCAGCGGTCCCAACTTCGCAGGCGGCCTCAGGGCCCACCGCACGGCCACCGGGCCTCCCCAACACCTCGATCAGGGCCTGTCAGACAGGCAGACAGCCCTCCCCGTGCTAGTCACCAATGTGCTCCAGCAAGGCTTCCCCCGTTACCCACTTTCCCTTCTTTATCGTGTCGTGTCCTTCAACGTGTACTATTCACGTGTCCTTTTCGCCAAACGAAGAATCCTCCTCGCTGCCCGATTTTTCCCTCCAGCTGCTGCCTCATTTTTCTGCCCCTCTTTGTATTAACACTCTTCAAAAGAGATTTCTATTCTTGCTACCACCAATTACCCTCCCCTCTCTGATACTCCCCCCTCCGTCCCTTGCACTGGCTGCTCCCCCAGAGCCACCTGACTCCCTCAGCTCCACGTCTTTGCTTAAATGTCACTTTCTCAGCGACACTTACCCCGTTGAATATTCTTGAACACACACACTCCTGAGACCTCCAGCACTCCTGACTGTCCCTCCTTTTCTTTTACATCCATCATACTCTAATACGCTACCTAGCCAGTGTTTGTGTTTGTCTCCCACTCAACTACTAGTATGTAAGCTCCACAAGAAAAGGGATTTTTGTCTGTTTTAGTGACTGAGTCATTCAAGTATTTGTTACAAATAAATAAATGAATATTAAGTGTTGGCTGTTTCAAAATATAATTTATACATATATCTTTTCAGATGTGACTTAACCAAGTAAATCAGAATAAAATATACAACTTGTTCAACTATCCCCATATAGTTAGGGTGGGCCAGCACATTTGCCACAGTTAACAATGCTACAAAAAAAAAAAAAAAAAAAAAAAAAAACTTGTACAAAAAATCTGTATACAGTACTAATTCCTCTACTGGTTAAGATTTACAAAAGTAGGTTATGGGAATCTGGGTTTTAAAGGCTAACAGATATTATTGCCAGACTCTCAGGAGAGGCCGTAAGACAGAAACAGGAGTTCTATCTAAAACTCTCCCAGATATCATCTTAGATATCCAATAGAATTATATGTTTTTTTTAAAAAAGGAAAGAATACAGGGCTTAAGAGGAAAAGAGATTTTCACATCTTAGGAGTCAATGATGCAAAATTCAGTGCAGCGATCAACCTGAATGACTGTCATAGATTTCCCCCAGTGCGCACAAGAATCAAACCATCCAACTAGCATCTGAAGTCAGGGGCCAGCCTCCTGAGAGTAAAGGAAGTCACTTGATGCGGCAACTACAACCGGATTCACTGTGTCCTACCCAGGTCACCAGCAAGAAGCCGGTCAGAATCCGAGGCTTTGACGGTAAGTAACCGCAATTACCACCCTTCCCTGGTGGGTATGTTACTTCAGCTACATGTGCTAACAGGTTTCCTGAAGTAGATATACATAGTTTTTTAGCCCTCAGAAAGATTAACTCAATTAAGGCCGAAGAATTAACATTTGGGATGTCAGGAGGAACGTGAGCATAGTATTTCTACCTACTTGCAATGTTCAATGTTATGACTCCGACCCACAGGTTACAACTGAGTTGCAACTGATTGAGACGGGTGACACAGTACTAGAACTTAGAAATTCTAAGAGAATTTCAGGCTTATGAGAAGTTTCAACTATTAAATTTATAATTATTGTTAGTGCCTAAGTTCTAACTTTCAGATCAGACATCTGAAGTACTTTAAAAGGAAATCAAATAGGTGAAACGTATATGTCGTTTTAAATTGTGGTGAAGGTGGTTCAACTAGGTCGTAAACAGAACCAAATGTTGTTCACGGGTCCCCTAAACATGGCTGCTGAACTTTGCTAGATTTATATACGTAGCAGTACCGTTTGCCTAAGAAAGAACTAACTCAAGACTTTTTAAATCAAAACTGATGTAGTGTTGTTTAAACCAAAGTTGAGGTCTTACTATCCGTTTCTAAGAACAGAAACGGCCTTTGTGGGCACTAACGCACATCGATGATTACCTTCCCAAAGGGTTACAGAACCACCATCTTCCCGTTTAAACTTCTGCACATTTTGATAGAAGAAAAATGAGATTTCATTATTGCTTTGATTTGCATTTACACCTGGCTTACCAATGAAGTTGTACTGAGCATCTTGGATTTCTTCTATTGTAAACCGCCAGTCTTCAGACTGCCATTTTTCCTTGGGTTCTTGGTCCTTCGCCTGCACCCCGCCCCTGCCCCCACCCCTGACCTTTTTTTAAGTTTATTTACTTATTTTGAGGCAGGGAGGGGCAGAGAGAGGGAGAGAGAGAATCCCAAGCGGGCTCTGCACTATCAGTGCAGAGCCTGACAAGGGGCTTGATCTCACAAACTGAAATCATGACCTGAGCCAATACCAAGAGTCGGACAGGACACCAAGAGTCACCTCGGTGACTGAGCCACCCAGGTGTCCCAGGCTGTGTGTTTTTCTAATCATTTATTAAGAGAAGCTCCTACCACCCCTAGATTATATATCTATTTTGCTACATTTCTTCCCGATGTTCTAATCATTTTATTTTAACTGATCTGTAATTTCTGTTATAGGGTACGAAGGAGAGGTCTAAAGCTGTTTCCTAACAGATAACTTGCTAAATTACACCCAAACTCTTGGTTATACATTAACTTCTCATACATATTTTGATCTATTGCTTTCCTAGCTTTTCTGTTCTCCTACCTATTGGGAGCTCCAGTTTTTGTAGCTGTTTTCAGAAGTCACATTTTTTTTTCCTTTCTAACAAGCTCACAGGGAGTTAGTTTCTCAGCTGCCCTCTCAGAGCCGGGAGTTCAGACTTCCCACCGTGGTTCCGCATATTACCTCTCGAACCGTCCGATGTGACCCTATAACTCACGAAGCAACACGGCCTCAAATAAGGACACAGGCCCTGGAGCTTGCCTGTCAGCATTCACGTCCATAATCATGCAACCTCTGACAAGCTCCTGTATCTATTCTGTGCTTCAGTGTCTTCATTTATAAAGTCAGGGAAACGGAGTCACCTACTTCAAAAAGTTGCTGAGTAAGCTAAAGAAAATATTTTACTTAAAAACATAATGCCTGGCACATAAGCGCATAACAAATTTAGTTATTACTTAGTTATGAAACCAAATTTTTTAAAAAATTTTTTTCATATTTATTTTTGAGACAGACAGAGTGTGAGTGGGGGAGGGCCAGAGAGAAAAAAGGAGACAGAGGATCGGAAGCAGGCTCCAGGCTCTGAGCTGTCAGCAAAGAGCGCAACCCATGAACCATGAGATCATGACTTGAGAAGTCGGACACTCAACTGACTGAGCCACCCAGGCGCCCCAAAACCAAATTTATAATAACACAGTCGGTTATTTCTATTATATAATACAAATTAGCAGAACTAGATCTGACTCAAGATTATCTCTGTGCTAGTGTGAAAGTCATTTGCACCCGCTTTTACTACTTTGCTTTCTTGAGGTGAAGGACAGGGTGATGCTGAAAGTCTCCATTATCCAGCGTATGTCCTCTCCCTCTGGGAGCGTGAAGTTCAGGGGAAAGTATCTGTCGTGTGTGTCTGGGAGTAAAATGAGACCAGAAACTGCTAGTTTGTATCTTAATCAACCTGTAACTTGGCTTTCAATTCATCTAGTTACCTCTGGCTTCTCCCCTTTAACCAACCTCTCCTATTCCATTGGGCCCAGCTTCCTAAAAATGCATTTTATCAGATCACCTCCCCCATTACTGTCACACAGAATCTATGATGGATCCACTACCAACATCTCAGAAAAGATCGACTCTCCCGCCTGGTTTTCAAAGCCAACTCAACTTGGTCGTTGTCAAATTCTGTCCAGCCAACCTAACTTCACAAATCACACCTCTAGCGATTTACTTGTCTGTATCCAATATCCATCTGCTGCACTGTATTTCATCAGTCGGAAACACTGTAGTCAAATATTATAGTGAAGTCAAGAGGAAAACTGCCTTTCCTTTTTCTGGAAACCTGAGTAACACTGACCAACAGGCCCACTAGTGCCCTCCTTCATGAAGCATCAAAACAGAACAGCAGGAAGTTGGCCATATCATTTGCAAGTTTTTAAATCTATGAGAAAATACAATTTGTCCAACCCATGACTTCAGAATAACATGGCGCTTTCTCAGACCTCTGTCCTGAGCCTCAACCCCCTCTTACCAGTGCTTTCAATCTAGACAGTGTCCCTGTCGGAAGAGAAGGAAACTAAGAGAAGCTGCCTCCACCAGCAGACCTCACAGACCTTACTCTTATCACTCTAACCATTACTTTCTAAAAAGCCCTTTTAACTGTGTTTAGGCGTTTTCATTAAAAATGACAGACAGAGCTACCACGGCAAGCTGACCCTCCCAACTGCAAACACCTGAGTGCCCTCTCCCAGCTACCACCCTGTCCCCAGTCACATGCAGGCCTTCGTTTCATGACGGTCCTTCACGGTCACATTGCACTGTTCAAACTGTGTTGGTCGGAGGTCACTACGGACATCCGTGGACCAACCAAGAGAAAGGGCTGCCATGTTTAGCTCTGCGCTGCGTCTCTTCCTTTAAGCCCACCCCCACCCCCCCCCCGCCCTTTGCTGTTCCATGTAACTTGGTAGGGCGGCTGCCGTTGGCCACCTTGGGCCCCTCATCCTCACCAGTAAGAAAGGGATCCTAACCCCAGAGGAGGGCATTTGGGGAAATGAAATGAGTCCTGGGAAAGAAAAGTCTGCACTCCTTTCTCTTGGATTGGTGGTTCTCAGGACTATTTAATTTTTAACATAAGCTGAAAACTGGTGACCACCTCTTGTCCCATGTGAATACGGACAACCGGAAGGGTAGAAGCGGGTCAGGGGCTGGGCACCAGCTGGAAGAAGTAAGTGTGAAGCAGGGAGAAAGTAAAGACGGGGTTTAAGAAAAACGTAAGAAGGCAGAGCCATATAAGAAACATCCTTCTGGGGGCGCCTGGGTGGCGCAGTCGGTTAAGCGTCCGACTTCAGCCAGGTCACGATCTCGCGGTCCGTGAGTTCGAGCCCCACGTCGGGCTCTGGGCTGATGGCTCAGAGCCTGGAGCCTGTTTCCGATTCTGTGTCTCCCTCTCTCTCTGTCCCTCCCCTGTTCATGCTCTGTCTCTCTCTGTCCCAAAAATAAATAAATGTTGAAAAAAAAAAATTTAAAAAAAAAAAGAAACATCCTTCTGTATCAATAGATACAAATGTGCACAATTCTTCATGACAATAGATACAAATGTGCACAATTCTCCGTGATTGGCCAACAGTATCCACTAGATGGAAGTAAGCTAATCTGATCTCACACTGGACATCTAAAATTGTTACTTTATTATAAAAGATAAAAAATGTGTATAAGCACATACAAGCATACGTGTGGACAGCTCTATGTACATAGTCATTTTTGCAAAACTGGGATCCCACACAGCCAGCAAAGTAAGGAGAACTTTCTACTTACCCACAGAGTGATAGCTGCTTGTCTTGGAGTCGTACATACAAACAGCACTTGCTTGCCCACACTGGGCAATATCCAGATTTCCACAGATGCTGATCTTATAAAGCATGTTATTTTTGGTATCAACAGCTTCCCATGTATAACTAGAAAGGAAGAAAAACAATTTGTCACTGTCACTGATCTGCCAATAATTAAGCTTCTCCCTGGCTTCACATGCAAGCCACATTTACTTGAGACTGCCACAACCTAAAAGACACACTTTCGTTAGCCAAAAAATACTAAAGTCAAACTATGTTAAGTTGAACAGAAGCCAGGGCAGAAACCACTAAATACCACCTCGCGCTGGTTCAGTCTGCCCTGAAGCTGCACAAGACTGACCATCATCAAAACACTTAAAACTCTACCATTAAACAGTATCAACTCACATAACTGCCCCAGAATCATGTTGAATATAAGATCGCAACCTTTCCAATCAGCACTGGAATGCTTAAGAGCCAAAGAATTGGTTTAAACTTTGGTTATTCTATATAAACACTAGCGATGGCATGAAAGACAGTCTCCGGTTTTACCTTTTACGGCTACAGTTCACATCCAAAGGGACAAGACAAAGTGGTGCAATGAATCAACTATTGGCTTCAAAATCGGACAAACTTTACTTAAGCTGGACCCGCTACATCAAGCATTTTACAGGCATTAAAACACTCTCCGTTCAAACCTCTGCCAAGTAAACACCGAGTACTTGTTAAGGAGTCAATCTGCATACGTGGGACAAAATGATGGCTTGTCCGTTCTGTCAAAGCAATTATTCTCCATTCTCTACTCTTCCTGGGGAGAATGTTTTGTCGTTTTTGTAAAACGGGTCATTTCCTCAGCAAGGCTAAAGACAGGAAATGAGGAAAGCAACGAAAAAGTTCCTTGCAAAATGCAAAGACACTGTATTAATTCAACAGTTGCTGGAGAGAAGGCTTAGGAGTTGCTGGGGTGGGGGGGGGGGACACCTGGAGGTCGCTGAACCCTGAGACCACTGAGGTGTAGCCAGAGCTGATCTCCCCAAAGCAGCACCTTGATGACAGAAGGCACTCGCTCACAGAAGTGGCGATGCACTTCCCAGAGCCCCCTTCCGCCGGGCCTCAGGACAAAGACTCCACAACCCAGCAGGCAACATGGCCCTCCCCTGCAGGGATGTGGGCCCCCTCTCCCCCCCCCCACCTCCAGCAGCCCTGTCCAGTAACAGACGAGCCCCAAGAGCGGGGTGGTGGCAGGCAAGGAACCAAGCATTCTCCCAAACCTAGGTGTGGGGACCGACCAAAATTTCCGTGCCAAGAAGCAAAGGGACAGGAACACCCCAGAGTGCTCCCCTAGAGGTTCTGACTGCCAGCTACTGGAAACCTGAAAAACAGGCCGGGCGGGCGGGAGGTAAGGCCAGGCTCAGAAGCAGTTACCATTGAACTAAGCTTCTTGTTTTTATTTTGTATTTTTATGTTTTCAAGCTTAGTTGACACACAATGTTAATTAGTTTCAAGTGTGCAACATGGTAATTCATTCTCTCTCTTCCTCAGGCTGTGCTCACAAGTGAAGTTACCATCGGCCACCATACAACCTGTTACAATACCGTGGACTTTATTCCCTGTGCTGTGCCTTTTATCCCCGTGCCTTGTTCATTCCGTAACTGGAAACCTTTTCCTCCCTCTCTCCTCCACCCAAGTTATCTACGCCCCCAGGCACCCCCTTCCCTCTGGCATCCACCAATTTTGAACTCAGCGTCTTTATCAGTAACCCCTTAGAGTTATCTCCTAAAGTCATGAGGGCTAAAGACAAGAGACAATAACCCAAGTATGACCAGGCATGAGAACGTCATCAATAAAGGCCTGTTTCCTTTGACCTTCACTAGCCTTTCTTTATTCATTTGCTTCACAAATATTTCTTAAGTACTCACTGCAGAGGCACTGAGGGGTGCAGCGATGATCAGAGACCAAAAGCCCCCTGCCCTCCAGGGGAGGACAGAACATAAACGGGTAAACAAATACACAGTAAACAAAAATAAAATGAACAGGTAAGCCATTTCACAGGCTGGCACGCCAAGTGCAATGACAAAACAAACCAGCGTGGGATAGGAAATGACCAAGGGCGTACTTGAGCCTGGAAAGTCTTGAGATAGTGTTTTCCCTGGGACCCGAACAACAAAAAGGAGCAACTCGGGAAGATATGGTGGGAAGAATATTCCGGCAGATGGACCACTGCTAGGCCCCGAGGAGGGAATGAATTTAGCAACGCGACAGAAAAGGGAAGAGGGCAATGAGGCTGGAGGGAGACGGGTAAGCAGAGCAAGCAGCAGGTAAGGCCAAGGACATGGGGAGGCTGGCTACACGGGGGCTTTGCTTTGCAGAGTAAACAATGTCGTTTTGATCTAGTACTTGAAACAAAGGAAGGCCACTCAAAGACACTATGGATCTTTCCTTAAAATTTTAAGCTAGTGTTTTTATTTTGCAGAGTATTAGCAAAACTTTTTTATTAATTACAGTTAATTTTTAAAAAACGCTAATCTCTTATTCAAGAGCAACGGCCATGTTTTTCTGGGATACTAACACATCAAATCTAAAACCTTAATAGTGGTATCATGAAAGTGTTTCACAATCCTGAGTATACGAGCGAGGTACATAAAGGTATCATTTTAGAATGAATCAACTAGTAGGAATCAACTCTAAAGCAATCCACACAGCGCCTAAAATGCTACGCTTTTCTTAAAAACAGAATTCTGCTGCTGGTTTCGCAGAGGTGATATTTAAATAAGGTAGTTGTAAAAAGTGTGTGTTTAGGGAGCAGAAAAGAGATGGGGGGGGAAGCAAAATGGGGAAGATTGTCTTGATTATCTGGAAATCAGTGTCCCTAGCAAGAAAATTGTTGCTCTGTCCAATTTTATTTCTTTTCTCCATTTGCATTTCCTATATGCTTTGTCAAGATTTATCAAAATGGTAAGTGGCTATGGGAGTGAGGGGCAATGAGGACCCTATGAAAGTTCTTGGGCGCTGGCTTCTTTCTGGGGGTTGCCAGAGCCACCTACCACAGGGCAGCCCCTCCAGGCTGGCACCTTCAGTGACACTCACAAACCCAACCTGAAACACCCAGGTTCGAAGACTCCTTGGCCACGCCACTAAAAATGACGGAATGGCCACGACATGTTTCTAATCTACACTACCAAGCATCTGGAAGAAAATATTTGCAAGCTGAGCGAAAATGCAGTCTACACACACACATACACTTGCACGCACATCTTGAATACGTCTGCTGTACAAACATCTCCCGCAACGAGACAGGTCTGAAAGCCTGTGGGCGTCTCCTTGAATCTCTAACACCCCAATCTGCATCAAGTCTTCCAGGTCGCTGTGGCTTCTACCCTATACACCACTCCCACCCCCACCCCGAGGGAAAGGACGGGGCACAAGGAGGTGTAACAAGGGAGAACCACAAAGGCCCAAGGAAGCAGTTGGTCAATGGGAAACAGCACCAGCAGCCCTGCCCGCTGTCCCAGCCTTGCGACATTCGGCCAACATCCTCAGAGGAGAGGACGCAGCCGATTCCCAGTGAGAACTGCTCTCCTGGACACGTCTTCTGTGCGAGAACCTTGGCTTTGAAACGTTAGCAAAAGCAAGACCCTTGCCGTTCTACCTCACTTTCCAGAGCGTGAAACGTAGTCAGCCGACGTCCCCCTCCCACTCTCCAAAAATCCAAATTCATTTCCATGCAAACCTGACGACTCTAGATACGCACGTAGGCACAGTAAGTCCTCTCGATCCACAGCTGTGACGCCAGCACGACTGGCAGTGCCCACCATGCAACGCTGGCTCTTGGTAGGTGTCCCCAGACGCATGGCTCCTCAGGATGGTCACGGCCTCCCCTCCCAGAACGATGATGAGCAGGCCCAGGGCCGCCGGGAACAAAGCCGTGGGGGACCAAGACGGTGGCTCTGCACACCTCTCCCAGCAAAGCCACCGTCCTCCCACGGTCCCGAGCACCCTGGCCTGGGAGCCAAAGATCCCAAGGCTCAGAAGACCAAGTCCCCCGCCCAGAGCCACAGAGCCATGAAATGTGCCTGGTCTACCTGAGCTCCGAGGGCAAGTGCTTAACCACTCCAGCGAACTGCTTCATTTCGTTTCAATTTTCAAAAGCGTTTTTAACTTCGCAGAAAATAGTTTCAATTACAACACTGAAACTGACAAAATATTCCACAAAACTTTAGTTGAAGTCCTGTCGCAATAAATGCCTCCAAAACGACACACTCCGTCCCACACTCTGCGTGGGCTCCCAGACTGAGCGAAGCCACAGTGAGCCCGTGGAAGACCCAGGCTGCCCCAGCCACGGTGGCCCACAGACCGTGCACTTGCCGAACTCGAGCTCCCCCCAGGGTTTGCACTTCTGCTCTCGACCCCTGTCTGCTTCCGCTGCTCTTCTGCACGGTCTGAACTGCCGAACCCCAAAGGTGCCTTCTGCAACCTCTTTCCTCACTCACCCGGTGGTTCCTGAAGAAAGGGCATCGATCCCTGAGCCCCCTACCCACAGCTGCCCTCGCCCCCCTGCATATCCAAGCTGGGTGAGGACTCCACTGAGAAGGAGACGCATCTCACACTCACTCTCCTTTAAAACATGTACTTGGCTCAGCGGAGAGCTGCCCTTTGAAACCCCAACCAAGAGTCTCACAGTGTCACCAGGAACTCGGAAATATCCTACAATCACTCCTTCGTATCCAGCAGGGAATGGTGGAGGGGGCAGAAGTCACACACAAGGCAAATGACTTTGGACAGCTCTGATTTTAAAGTGGATCCTGCTCCTGAAATGTGCCGCGAACACGGACAATTTCACCATAAAAACCGAGCACACAGGCCAAGCCCTTCCCTTAAAGAAAGCTCAAACCTGTCTGCCCCTGACTGCAATCCCACCGCCCCTGCTGAAAGTGTCCTGGACGACCACAGTCAGGCCATGTGTCTGTTCGGTGGACAGAGGCTCCATTTTAATCTCATTTGGTTTGAATTTCATAATATCCTGAAAGGTGTTGGCAGATTACCAGTGAGAAGGAGGCACACAAGTAGCATACTGTCAACCAAGCCAGAAGCAGGAAGGCATTTCCACCTTCCCAATAACACTCCAGCAAATGCCACACGCAGGGCCCGTCCTGGTCAAGAATAAACCAATCTAGGGGCAGCGACGAAGAAGCAAATCCAGCTGGCCAAACACAATCGCCTGGAGCTCAGAAAGCTTCATGAAGAAACGCAGAACCATCTCCACTGACTGAGGTCTGTCCAGAAGAAAGAAAATTCAAAAGGAAAAGCCACAGAGGTACACCTGGACAGTAGGCTTAAACTATTTGAACTTGGCATCTTACTGGGACAAGTAAGTTTTCACATCTGTCATCACTGAATACCTGCAAAACCGTGGTATCTTGCAAAACGGAATTTGGGGTCCTTACGTTTTTTTAAAACAACTAACATTTTAAAATCAAGTACATAAAATTCAGTTACGAAATGTAGGATATGTGGCGCCTGGGCGGCTCAGTCGGTAAACCGTCCGAATTCGGCTCGGGTCATAATCTCTCACGGTCCGTGAGTTCGAGCCCCGCGTCAGGCTCTGTGCTGACAGCTCGGAGCCTGGAGCCTGTTTCGGATTCTGTGTCTTCCTCTCTCTCTGCCCCTCCCCTGTTCACACTCTGTCTCCCTCTCTTTCAAAAATAAACAAACATTAAAAAAAAATGTTAATAAATAAATAAAATGTAGGCTATGCCCAATGTCTTAAAGAAAACAAAAAATCTCAGGAAACTGAGTTCCTTCCCTCCAACACAAAACAGGTCCATGAACCCTCACCAACTCTTCACATGTAGTGCCACACAGCCACACTCCTGAAATATACCTTCGTTCCCTCACGCTCTATGAGTCAGGGTTATGGTAATGGTCATGTAGCCATTAAACTTTTTATTACTGGCCTACAATTAATTATTGGTATAAAAAGCAGTATACAAGTATGATGGAATCAGTAATAAAATTAATAAGCATGTGCAAATCTATAATTTGGTTTCTTTTTTAAAAAAGAACAACAAAGCTCAGTAACATACGTTCTAAATTCACAGCACACAATAACTGGCTTGAGGAATGTTTCTCTGAATCTAGAGTGAGCAGCAGATCTAAAATTTGGGGGACGAGGGGGAAAGTCTTTCCAACCTGAACATCAAAAAAAGATTTTCCTACTTTTGGCCTGCATCCAAGTCCTCTTGCAGAATATTCCGGAAATCGTTTGGCTCACTTCTGCCCCTTATCATTACCAGATAGTTTCTCAGCTCATATATCCAGCTCGCTAACCTTCAAAAATCTGGAACGGTCTCCTGAATTTAAGAAGGGGGAGGGGAGGATGCAGGAGAAAAGGAGCGCGCGGAAAGAGGCAGGGTTTCCAAAACGGACATTTGCAGGAGAAGGACAAGAGCTTGGTGTAACCACTGTTGTCGACAGCTCTCTGCGGCTGACACCAAGGGAGAAGAATCTGATTTGGCACAATAAATCTGCACCCCGGTCTGAAGGCCAGGGGACACGTGAGTTTGACACAGCATGGCAAAAGCTTATATAGGAAGTACTTCACTTCCTATTCTAACAAACCCACAAAGCTGTGGATAAAGATATGAGGCCTGCACCAAAAAAAAAAAAAAAAAAGGGCAAGAAAGTGCCAGACGTCAGCTTTTGGTTTTCCCAGGTAGTTCCGCAGGGTCTGGGAGCGAGAAGCCAGCTGGCTAGAGAGGCACCGGCTGGAGGCAAGGCTCTGAGACGGCACCAGAGCCTAAGGCGCCACGGGATGGGCTGGGGGGGGGGGGGGGCAGCGCTTTAAAACAGCTCCACGAGTGACTAACAGAG